TATTGTATTTATTTATTTATTTTTATTTTTTTTGTAGAGAAGGGGTCTCACTATGGTGCCCAGGCTGGTCTGAAACTCCTGGCGTCAAACGATCCTCCTGCCTCGACCTCCCAAAGTGCTGGGATTACAGGCTTGAGCCACCGTACCTGGCCTTATTTTATTTTTAATTGAATAGTGATAGTATCTATGGGGTGCAGTGTGAGGTTAGGATACATGTTTACACTGTGGAATGATTCAAATAGGCTCATTTAACACATACGTACATCATCTCACACACTTACCATTTCTTTACAGTGAGAACATTTAAAATCTATTCTTTTAGCAATTTTGAAATAGGCATTACTACTTCTAGTTACCATTCCTATAGAGGGCAACAGATCCCTAGAACTTATTCCTCCTGTCTAACTGAAACATTGCACCTTCTGATTAGCATTTCTCCTTATTTTTCTTTCGATATATATTTTTAATCATCATAAAGAGAGTTGAACTTCACCCACATGTCTGGTAAGAAGAGAAAAGTGGTGTACACACTCTGTGCTAAGTATGGAACAAGAGAGAAACCCAGAACGTATTAGGAGGAGAGAGAGGAGGCTCACCGGGGAGTGAGACCGCAGAACCTGCAAGCGTCGGGCCAAAACTCTGAAAACTTTCCAAAACAGTTCAGACTAATAGTGCGTGCAGAGAACTGGGCTGGAAAACTTACAAGGGGGTGGGGTTGGGGGGAGGGAGGGAGGGAAGGGGAGGAGAAGAGAAAGAAATGTCGAAAACCCCGTGCTTACCATGTGACAATAACAGGGAGAAAACAAATCGCTCTGGCAGCAGGGGTGGGGGCAGAGGACTCCAGTCCAAAGTTTTTTCCAAGTAGAATGAGTCACCAAGTAGCAAGGGACGATTAAGCCAAAGGTAGCTGCTATCTGGGCCAAAGGGGAGATGCATCCTCTAACACTAGTCATTTACCCCAGACACCTTCGGGAGAGGGGAGTCAGAAGGGGGTGTGATGGAAGGAGCTAGAACCTTTGTCAAGCTCTCTCTATAGATACCAAAAGAAAAAAAAAAAAAGCAAAACAAAAACCAAAACTCGAAGAAGCCAATTACTTAAAAGTTTGTGCCAACGGGACAAAAACACTAAAACTCCAAAAGATACTGAGCAAAGACTATAAAAACACACACGCGCACGCACACACACACGATTGATGCTCTTGTCGGGGAAGGGTGATCCCCCAGAGACAGAGTTTCCAACAGTGGGGCAGGGAAGTGTCCAGGGGACAAATGATTTTGATGCAAGGTTTAAAAAGGGACATCCTCAAAAGCAATGCAATTGAATAAATAATAAGAGGTGATTGTGTCTATTACACTAACCAAAAAGGAAAAAAAAAATCACCTCCCACCAATGCCAGAGAGAATTTTATAAATGTGGTAAAATTATACTCCGACAGTCCAAATTGTGTATATAAAATAAAAGTTTGATGTTGTTTTTTTCTTAATCAAAGCAATGCTAGGCGATTAAGGAAAATGTTGGAAATAGTTAAAATAAGTATCTGTGAAAGGTTTTTAAGAAGGTGATTGTAACCTCTCACTTTCTCCTAATTTTCTGCCACATCTTGGCTCCCTTGAGGGCAAACAGAGCTGGTCTGTCTGGGGTTGGGGCTGTCTCGGGCAGAGGCTGCTGAGGATTTGTACCAGCGACCCTCGGGCCCCAGGAATAGGGGACACATGGGCCAGTCAAAGGCAGCGGGGAGAAGCTGGGAGCAGTTAGGGTTAGGGTTAGGTCCGATGCCAATAGAGTGATCAGTTGTCCAGGTTTAGTCAAAACTAAGCAGTCCCAGGAATGTGGGATTTTGGTGTCCACACCCAGAAAGTTCCAGGCAAATGCGGACAAGTTGGTCCCAGCAGCAGAAATAAAATCAAGGAGGTTCCGCAGTAGAAACACATGATTGCACACTCCACAGAATCTGTATTCTTTTTGCTGCCAACAATGCCCTCAACTTCCTTAGGAAGCTACTCCTCTCACTTCAGTGGCTGTCATGTCCCACGTTCAAGCCCACCCCGGTTCCAGGGCCTGAAGCTAAAGGGTCTAAGTCCTCCTGGGAAGGGGACAAAACTGAGCCTCAAAGGAGCAAGGACAAAAATGCAAATCAAGACCACAGTGACACAGCACTACACAGACAGACACGTCAGGCAGGAGAGAGCAACACATGAACACGAATTATGCGCACAAGCACGTTCATGCAAATTAGAAACTGAGCTCTACAGGGGAAGGCATTTTATTTATAAAATGGATGTTTTAAAAAAGGCATATAAATAGTCCATTTATTTAGCAAACAGGACCCCCAGATAGGCAGAGAATGACAATTTCGGTAAGGACATTTCTGTTTTCTAAAATTTACTTTTTTCTGGGAAGGGCCACATAGAGACTCTATTGCATGTTGTTCTTTATTTCTTCATAACAACTCTCTGCAGGCTACAGAAGAACAGGCTGCAAGCCAGATTTGGCCCACAGGCCATAGTGTGATGATCCCAGTTCTAAATCATTGTCAAAGCCAAATATTTGGGTTCCAAGACTTGATGTGATCCCAGGAGGGGTCCCTCGAGGGAGGCACACCTGATTATAGCAGGTCTTTCTCCCAAAGTTCCAGGAAATCAGACGATGTTGCTATAACCCCTGTTGGTTCTTGGCAAACTCCGACCTACAGGCTAACCCCGGCCCACCACTTGTTTTTATAAATAAAGTTTTATCGGCACAAAGCACACCCATTTGTTTACGCACCATCCACGGCCGCTTTCTTGGTAGTGGCAGAGTGGAGCAGTTGCAACAGAGACCATCTGGCTCTTTACAGAAAAAAAAAAATTGCCAGCCGACCCCTGGATTAGAAGAATATCAGTCTCGGGTTTGAATTCCCGACTCTATTCTTGCAGACCTTGTATGGTGACTGCAACTCTGGAAGCCTCAGTACCCAGCTCACCGGGATACGTTGAGGATTTATTGTACTTCCTCAGTCCCGAGAAGTATATCACGTTTGCATTCTGACATTCCTGAAATCAGAAGGCATCTTGCCAGCAATGCCGTTTTACAATGAGAATGAAGTGACTTTCTTTCTATAAAAATAATGGGGCTTTTCATAAAGTCTGAGATGTGATAAAATGGGATAAACGAGATACTGTGTCACGAGCTCAGCGTGCACGAGGCGCACAGTGACCGCCGAGGACAGCGTAGCTGCTGTTTTAGTTCTTTCTGTCTCGTGCATCTCTGCATTTGCCCATCAGTTTGCGAGCATCTGCGACTAAAGGGAGGCACCCAACCAAAAGTCACTTATTAAGGTTTTAAGTGATTCTGATAACTCCCTCTAAAGCAAAATGAGTCTCCCATCGTGGCAAGAGGGACACAGACGGAAGCAGCCATCATCCCACGTGGAGGACACAACTGAAAAGCAACGTAGGAATCTGAGCAAAGAAATGAGTTTGCAGGTTGGCATTTCGAACCCATTTCCCTGGAAGCCCATGTATCAAAGCTGTAAGTCCCAACCACACAGCATCTAATGAGAGAAGCATCTGGGTCAGAATTTAAGCAGAGGAAGGAGGCACCAAGGACAATTCCTAAGGCATGTGCCCAAGCATCCGAGTCCTTACCTCATCGCCGTATCGCCGATAACTCACTTCGTACAGCACGATGAGACCGTTGGGTTCCTTCGGCTCCTGCCACATCAAGTGAACGACGTTGTTCTCGAAGATTTCATGGGTCACAGGGCCTACGATGTCATCAGCCTTGGCTGTTTGGAGCAGAAGTTAGAGGCAGGCATGTAAGTCTTGGGTCAGATCCCACTTCTGCCACCTACCAGCTGAGCGACCTCGAGCAGCTCATGTCATTTTCCCACAGCCCATGTAACATTTAGTGAGTGGCTTACGCCTGTAATCCCAGCACTTTGGGAAGCAGAGGTGGGAGGACTGCTTGAGCCCAGGAGTTCAAGACCAGCCTGGGCAACATAGCAAGACCCAATCTCTACAAAAAATTTAAAAATTAACCAGGCAGCTTTGATCATGCCACTGCACTCCAGCCTGGGCAACAGAGCAAGACCCTGTCTCCAAAAGAAAAAAAATAGAATAATAATAAAAGCAAATAAGGTCAAGTATACATATAACATACAATGTCTATGGGGCAAAGGGTTTGTCCTTGGGCAGCCTGGGCCTCCCATCCCATTTAGCGTGGACACCGGTGGGGGGAGTAGCCCCACCTTCAGGCATGGTCCTGGCGCTGACATAGGCTGCCACGCTACACCGTTCCTCGGGGGCATCTTGGTTGCAAGCTTGCAGCTCGATGCGATAGCCCGTGAAGTGCCGCAGGCCGGAGATGACCAGTGACTCCTTGTTCACCACTTTCTCGAAGGGCCGGTGCTCCTCTGGGCTCGTGGGCGCGGTGGTTGAGGAGATGTTGGGGAAACTGGGGACGGTGGGCACGGCGGCCACCGTCACGTTCCCGACGTCGCCAAGTGACCTGCGTTTCCGAGATGGCCTGGAAGGACGACAAGAGGGCACGCACGGTCACATCACCATTACCTTAAAAGTAACAGTGATGCTGGAGAGCCAAAGGCCTAATTAAAAAGAAAGATCCGGGTGCAGGAGGCGGCGGGGTGGAGGGAGGCACACGGATTAAAATGCAGATTTCCAGGAATTACCACCGAGAGCAGCTTCCAAGATGCCTTTCGTAAGCATCTCAAGGATAAGGTCAGGCCCACCCCGTGGGGGATGGGTGATTCCAGGACACACCCCGATATTGCCCCTTGACATGCTTGATTTCGGGTTTTCATTTTGCAGATGAACAGGCCACCCAGGGTCAGTGTTAAAAATAAGAGGCCAAAAGCACGTAAGAGTCTAGTTTTTCAGGAAGCCCTGCCAAATGGCGTTGGCCCAGTGGTCCAGGCTACGGACTGACATCACCAGTTTAAACAGGAAGAAATGGATCTTCTCATCTCTGTGACTGTTTAGGGCACCCGTGTCATTTGAGTAACAAGGCTTGAATTCTTGGCAAAGGAATCTCACCATTCAGGTAAGCAAAGGGTACCTCCAAGAACCGTCTACGCAAGCGGCACACTCCTCCCCACCTTTTAAAAAGGTACATTAAGAAATAAATGTAGATGGCCCAAAACATTTTAAAATCCAAAAAAAAAAAGTATAAAAAAGAAAATGTAAATGACTTATAATTCCACCCGCCGTTACTTCCTTTGGGCAATTTTTTTTTCCCTGTAAGTATTACGTGTGGGTGTAGATGAGGATGGAGCCCATTTTATAACCCACTTTGCTCACTTGTTATATTGGACGTATTCGTTAAATATTTTCCTTACAACCTAATGTCTTGAGTAGAACAGGATTTCAGCTATTTTTTTTTTTCTTTTTTAATGTTAGGGTTTTTTCCCCTGCTCAATGACAAAGTAGCATGTGTTCCTTGTGGAAAACTTGGAAAATATTTCATGGCTCTAAAATATTCCATTTGTTGCATGAGCTGTCATGCACTCAGCCATGTCCTATTTTTTTTTTTAAAATATGGTAATCCCAATTTTGTTTGCTATTATAAATATTGCTTTGATTGTTTGTCTGATTGCCTTATGGAGTTCCCCAGAGTAGATTTCTAGAAGAAGATATCACTCAGTTCAAGGAGAGAGAAAACCCTTTAAGCTTCTTAATACAGAAGCTAGTCTTAAACAGACTAGAAAACGATTTAGCAAATTTTTCCCGTAAAAGGCTAGATAGTAAATATTTGGGGTTTTGCAGGCCATGCGACCTCTGTCGTCACTACTTGACTCTGCCATTGTAGCTTAAAGCAGCCATAGATAATACATAGACACGTGAGTGTGGTTGCATTCCCATAAAAGTTCATGTACAAGAACAGGCAGCTGGCCCATGGGCCATAGTTTGCCTAAGCTTGCCTAGACCATCTGCAAATATCAATGACTTGCCACATTCCATTCTTCACAGTTCTAATTTGTTTCACGTCTTACTGCATTGGCTAGTTGCCCAGAGAAACGTTAATTAGTAATGGTGAGATTAGGCATTCTTGTTTTGTTCCTAACTCTAAGAATAATTTTAAGAATGATGTTAGCTTGGCTGTTGGTTTAATCCAGGAAATATTTATCTTGTGGAAGAAGTATTCTATTCCTACTTTTATAAGAGCCCTCTTTTTCCCTCCTTTCTCTAAGTTAGGAATGTTTAATCAACATTATTGCATTAATGATAAGATTTTCTTTATTGCACCTCTTGATGAAGTAGACGATATTAGCAGATCTTCTGATCTTAAACCACCCTTGCATTTTGGACATAAA